GTATCAAATCTTCCACTTTCCTCATATTTGTGTCTTAAGTGTTCCCTTGGAGAAGGGCTGGGGAATTTGTTTCCTCAGGAAATCTCAAGATAGATTGATAAGAATTTTCTTGAAGGTTTTCCAGTGAAATTCCTGCTTGTGATTCAGTTTCTCAGCACAAGGTTACAGAATGACTTGCCTGCAGTCACATAGTTGGTCAGCGGAGCAGACAAGAGCTCACAGCTGCTTCAGAGGAGATACAGTTGTGTGGATCAGGACTATGTTATGGCATCGGTAAAGATATGAAAAACAGCTGGTATGTGGAGGCCTTTTTCCTTGATGTTCTTCAGCTAACCACTTAGCAACTGAGGTGATTTTTGTGTCAATGGTCTTCCAACAGAAGAAATCATTCTGGCTTGGAGCTTGGCAGTAATTTTACTGTAGCCACCAGGACCTCAGCATGAGCAGTTATATTTTTAAGATCTTTGCTTATGGTGAAGGGGAAATGAGCCAGCATTCCAGTGTAAAATATAAGGATTTCATAAACCCAGATTTCCTGAGTTCTGTGTCCCAGGTAGACTGACTAATGTGTGATGACCACCTCCAAAAAGTTATGCATTCCTTTCTGATTTGCATCAGTTTCCTGCTGACTGCTTTTTTCAAAGTTTTATCTAAAAGATGAGAAAAACCCTAGGTTTTGCTGGAGGAGAAATAAAAGGCCAAGATTTTTTCTCTGTTCAAAATCTAAAGCTTCTGCTCTAATTTGGGAGCTTACTGCTGGAGACATTCCCCAGTCTTTCTGAGTGACAAATATCTCCTGTCTCCATCAGCCTGCAAAAACCTGCAGAAGAACTACAAAAAGAGACATCTAAATTTCTGTAAATCTGTGAATGACATGTCTTCTATAATCATGGCATACAGGCTTGAAACAGCCTGTGGAATCCTTTTGACATACAGTAGGAAACGCTAGAAGTCAATGAGTTCTCTTGATATTCTGAATGGTGTCCTGAGACTTGCTCTCCAGGAGAAAAACCCAGCTCTTTGTCCCTGTGCTGTAGTTTCCAGTGCTGCACACTAGCTTTGTGCTTGCAGAGATAGTTAAGATTGCCTGCATTCCTTGAGCTTGCAGAAAAAATAGAAGAAGATATTGCAAATAACACCTGTGATCTTACTGTCTCATAGCACCCCGCTTAGGGAGAGCTGCAGTCGTGTTTCTCATCCTGTAGCTGCTCTTTGCAGTCCAAAAGCTCTCACGGAAGAAGAGTCCTCAGCAATCCTGAATAAACTGTCCTGAGCTTTTTAAAATGGCATCTTTAATTAGAGGAGACATTTCTGAGTTTGTGATGCTGTCACACTAGTGACATCATCTGCACGTCTGCTGTAGCGCAAACCAGGCTTACTCTGGCTCACACACTGGCTGAGCTGTCAGAAGAGACACTCTGCTCTGCACTTAGGCATTTGATTTAGGATGCTTGGACACAAAAGTCCTTGCAAATTCAAGGTTAGGGGAGTATCAGCAGTTTGTCTTCCTGTAAGAAGAGAGCTCCCGCCCTCTTTTGCTGGGATTCAGCTCTTTGGTGCATGAGACATTTCAGCAATTGCCTCAGCTGTGCCTATGTAGAAAGCAAGTTCTTCCTGCACGGCTACAGGGTGACAGAAAAGCAGGGCTACACAAGCAGCATGTGAGGAGCTACCTGTCCATCCTCATACCCTCGAGTGTGGTATTCCTGACAGGTGTGGTGTATAATCCTGTCTTGAAGGCTTCGGAGGATGGAGACCTCACAGACTTGGAGCCCAAAACAATGAATTCCAGTTCAGACTATCCTTTCCTCTAAAACGTTTTTCTTAATCTCTCACCTAATATAATTTAAGACCATTACTATTTGTGCTTTCTCTCACTGGCACAGGGAAAGGATTATATTCTTGCTGTTTGCAGGAGTCATGGTTTTATTTGTTTGAAGAGATGATTCCTTCAGTTGTTCTTTCTTCAAGCTAAATCATTTGAACTCCTTCACTTCTCCCTTAGGGGGTCATGTTTCCAGATCTCAGTTCATTCACACTGTTCACCTCTGGCATTTATCTTGCTGCTCCACTAATCCTTTGAAGTGCAGTGCCCCAAACTGGGCACCATGCTTCAGCTGGGGATCAAGCATGCAGATGACTTCACATGTCCTGCAGGCTACATCCTGTTCATGCATCCAATATAACAGTTTCACAACAGTGTAATATCATTGGCTTGCATTTGTATGGGTCTACAGTAGTACTAGCCCCACCTCAATTAGCTCCTACCTAGCAAGTGTTGATCCTCTGTATATGCAGCAGTGATTCCTGCCTGTGCAGACCTTGCACTTATCTCTATTGAATTTCACTTTATTCTCTCAGCTCATTTCTGCAGTTTATGAGGTTTTAAATCCCATCTTCCAATAATCTTGCAGTTCCACCTAGATTTGTCATTTGCAAGTGTAACTAACGTTCTCTATTCCATCACCTGCACTGTTAATAATCACCAGTACAAAAAAAAGAGCAAGTCCTTAAAAAGCTGTAGATACATCCTTCCATTTTGATAATGAATCATTGATAACTGCTCATGTGATGGGGCTCTTCAACAAGTTGCGTAGCCAAGTTCCCTTTGTACCTTATCTAATAGTATTCTTATACAGACCATGTTTCTTTAACTTGCTTAAAAGACTATGTAAGACTACTTCAGAAACTTTTATAAGGTCAAGATACAGCCTCTGTTTTATCTCTTCTATCTGCAACCTTTTACTGTTTTGTGGAAGAAACTTAGATTAGAGAAGATTTGTTATTGACAAATCCATGTTGATTGTTAACCATCTCCTTGTTATCTTTCAGGTGCTTACAAATTGTTTAATTACCGGTTTGTCAGAAATGGGAGTTAAGCTGACTGATCTATAATTCTCTGACTTATTTTTCCTCTACCCCCTTCTCGTAGACAGACACTGTGTTTGCTGTTTGTCAGTCTTCCAGTAGTTCATGAGGTCTTGAGTGCTCTTAAACTGCTTCAGTCAGTTCTTTACATACTCTACACTGGAATTCCACAAACCCAGATAGGTTGAAAATATCTAACTTATAATGGCACACCATACCTTTTTGAGTCTAAAATCCTGCCTCTTTGTCCTTGATATGAACTGTGATGGCCATCCTTTTGCTGTTGACCTTTTAGACGAGACTGGAACAAGATGCTATGAACGACTGGTCTTCTTAGTATCATATGTCAGTAATTGTACCATTGTGTGGAGGAGCAAGCCAACTCTTTTCTTAGTCTTTCCAGTAAACGCATACTTGCCACTTTTGATTTCCTTTGTTGATTGCACTTCCTGTTATGTCTTCCTATTTTTTCTGTTTACTCCTGCTTTCATACTTGTCCCTAGAAATCTGATTGTTTCCTGTTTGTGTTTGTAGACACTGTGAAGCTCATGGTTTAGCTGAGTTCATTTCACACTACACTCACGGCACTTCCTTCACACAATGCCTTGAACTGTTGCATTTAACAGCATTCTTCTGAGGAGCTGTCCCCTGGTGTGTTAATATTTCTGTCGCATGAGGTATTATACTAAGTCTTCATTAATCCCATTCAATTGTATTATTTAGCATTAATTAAGAATTAGAATCAGAGGTTGAAAAGGACTTCCAGAGGTCTGCAGTCCAACATCCCTTTCAAAGCAGGACTAACCTCAAAGTTAGATAAGGTTACTCAGGGTCTTGTTCAGTTGAATTTTCGTCATGAAACCTCCTTAAAGAACTCTGAGATAGTAGGTCAAGTGCAGGAGAAGTGCTTGCTGGAGACCACAGCACAGTCCCAGGAGCAGTGCCTCCAGGTCTGACAGTTACTGTCCTGAGGTGCTGTATTCCTCTTTGTACACAGCCTGTCTTTCATCTTCCTTTTCTGGGCTTCCCCTCTTTCACATGAGAGTGCACGGACATGTCAATGGACCGTGTAGTTATTTTATAGCTTCTGCTTCCCCTTCCTCAGCATCCAGGGTTTTGTAAACCCAACTGATGCTTATGGGAGCCACAGATATCCATTGCTTCTGAAAACCAGGCCCTGTGCCTGTCACTTCAGAGTGTGCAAATAACCTGTATTTCATGTGTCATCACCTGATATGCTGGTTGGAGATGAGGGATGCTGCAGTAAGAGGAGATGAGTGGTGGGAGGGACATGTCATATAGCAAGTCAGGATGCAGGAGCATTGGGCAGGGAAGATTTATGTATTCTGAGCTGCCTACTTGTAGATTTCTTGTTTCATCAAAAAACCTTGAATTGTCCATTGAGGAGGGAATTCAAAGATCTGCCAGAGGGATTGTGTCTTGGTGGTATTCAGACATTGCCTTATGATCCTTTTTCCACTCCTTTTCACACATGCAGCGTCTCCCCAGCAGTTCCCTTTCTAGCACTTCACACCAAGCAAAGCTGTCTGATTATTCCTCATGATGGGTGTAAAAATGCCTGAATCCATGGCAGCCCTACTGCAGAAAATCTCTTGTGAAGAATGAGCTCACATTTCAGATAACAAATCAGATTTCTGTCGAAATCTGTACCTGGCTGACTCATCGTCAGGCCAACATACCCAGGGACGAGCCATGGGCCAGTCAGCACAAAGGCGGTGGCCCCTGTGCTGGTCTTGCAACTTTACCTGGGGATGGGGGTCTATCCCCTGTTTTTCCCTATCTCTTAATTTGATCTACTGCAGAACATTTTTGAAAATGTAATTACACAATGTTTAATACTATGAATTGCTAATTTGTGGGAGAGAGATCTACAAAGGGCTTTATAAGTAAGAGCAGAATTAAATGCACTGTGCTCTGCTTCCTCATGCGTTTTCACGTACATCTCAGAATTGCTTTGCTGAAGCTGGTTCCTGCTAATACTGCCCTCCACAAGCCTCTCCTCTCATCACTGTGCAATGCTGCCTGCACGTCTCCCAGCCCTTCCCAGGAAGGGAGAGACATTTGTTGTTCCCAGCAGTGCTAACATTTTTGTTGGGTCTTTCCTTCTGAAGCTCAACAGAAGCTGCTGACTCTCCCAAGCCAGTCCCGGAGACAAGCGTTACAGGAGCAGGATTACTCCGTGGAGGTAACGAGGGGGAAGAACGACAGGTTTTGCAACAGGACAATGCAGAGTCACAGATCCCTCTGGGACAGCCACCAGCCGTTGTACGAGTCTACACCGAGTCTCAGTGCGGCACTGGGTGAGTCTCTGCAACATTTCTGGGCCTTGGTTTCCCCATTTGAGAGAACACTGGTAGTACACGTGTGGCCCACTGGGCTGGCAGGACTGTGCTCTGTGACACCCTGTCCTTTGGGTCCTCCACCTCACCACTGGTGTCCACCACACTGTTGCTGCTCCAGAGGCTGCTATGGCATGTGCCACTCGTGACCTGCTTCAGACGCCCCACAGAGCTGCCCGGCACCGCAGGCTGAGGCACCGCTCCTCACTGAGACCAGGCAACAGCAGTGTAGGTACTAGCCAGATGATGCAGCCCCATCTGGGAGTGCAGACACAGCAGTGACCAGCTCTGTTACAGATCCTAGATAGGCCAAGATTCCACAGCAGGACTCTGTTCTTATGACAGATACCCAAAGGCAGATTTTCTTTTAATTAAATATGAAAATCTATAATGCAGTCAGCATGATGCCTCTTGGTATGTTTATTTTTATACCCCATTTATTTGCTTTTGTTCTCAACATATGCTTTCATTATGAGGGAGATTTTTATACTGACCATCTGTGCATTACAAATGAATTTCAGATAGGACTGAAGGACTTGGGGAGGAGGATAGAGGTCAGTTGAGATTTTTAATATCTGAGTGGAAATTGGTGTCGTTTACAGTTGTGGAGTAAACACACCGACCAGTCTTATTCAATATTATTCTTAAAATAATATTGAAATTGCAAAGTTGACATTTTTAGGCTGTTGTCCTTAGGTTTCAGGATTACCAGGCTTTTGAGATTAGTGAAGTATTTCATACCTCATATAGTTACTGTTTCTGTCTCTACACTCAGAAAAATATATTTATTGTTTCAATAATATTCTGCCTACATTTTAATATTTTTCTCTGCAGCCAAAGGGTAAAAAGCATTTAATTTCCCTAGCACCAAAGGTGATGGCATTTATCTGTGTGTTCGTGTGACTGTAACTGTTCTGTACCCAGTTCTGTCTTGGGGAATGGGTTAGATATTCCCAGGCAGAGCCCTGCGGATGTCATGAATACAAGAAGGGAGCATGTTGGGCAGCACAGTGGAGCAGCACCAGCAGCGTGGGCAGGCATAGGAGGGAACCACAGGTCTTGCCGTGAGTCTGAGCACTGTGGAGGGAGCTGTTTGGCAGGACTGATGCAGGAGACTCTTCCCTTGACTCCTTCAAGCTTTTAATTCCTCTGTGTCTCCCAGCTTTTACCCCTCCTTCATCTTTGCCTTGTTATTTTTCCTTTTGACCACTTTTCTATGCTCTCAGGTCAAGGGCTTGCCCTATGGAAAGAAAAAGCTTAGCTGAAAATTAGGAGATTTAATCAGAGCTTCTCCAGACAGCAAGAACAATCACCAAACATTGAACCAGACAAAAGGAAAAGCTATGCAAATGGAAGCAGAGAGATATGCAGATCTCCCTTAGCAAAGAACTTGATGCCATTTCTACCACCCCACGCACCACGTTCATTACTGCAGAGGCTGCGTGTGAAGCCTGGGGGGCCGGGCAGCAGTGTGGCAAGGGCACCAGCACGTAGCATTTCTTCCTTCCAACCCTACAGCTGATGCTACCACTGTCAGCGATGTGTCCAGGGGCTGCAGGAGTTTGCAGGAAAAGCTGTCCTCTGCCCTGTACACCACACTCAGGACATGCTCACATGCCTCAGGCTCTGAGCATCCCCTGAGTGTGTCATTCCTACCCCCTGTCCAAAGCACGAGTGCGACGAAAGCAGCAGCAGGAGTCGGGGAAGCTTTCCTGACCCCCCAGACTCACTGGCATAGCTCTGCCTTGAGGCACTGGAGAAGAAACACTCGTTCCTGGTGGATATGAAACCCCACCTTCCCCCACGCTGCAGGTGCATTCCCAAAACCTGAGCTGAAGGACAGATCCATCTCGAGCACTGCTCTGCTGGGCAGCTGTCCTTAGAGTTCACCATGGGGTACAGGCTGAGGAGATGTGCTCTGCTTACTGCAGAGATGTGCAGTTCTTTCCCAAGAAAGAACTTTCCTTCTTTCCCAAGAACTGCACTAGACTCCTCTCTAACAAAGAGTGTGTGCCTTCCCTGTCCTTTACTGTCTTTTCCTATGCCATTTGCCTGCATGCCATCATGTGCCCCATACTAAGCATGTGAATGCTTGGGCATGTAAGTACTACTACTAATGAGAGAGTTCTCCCCCATTTCCCACCCAAAGAAGAAGCAGGTTTCCCATCTCCTCAGGGCAATGCCAGAGAGACTACCTGCTCAGCCTGGATGGCCTCCTCTCCCTTCAGCTGCTGGCTCGGCACCCACAGCTCTCACAGCCCTCCCTTCACTGTGACCACAGGGGTATGGTCAGGATTTGCCCCTCCAAGCCCTGCATGATGCCTTGTAAGGAAACGTGTGCTGTGAGAGGCTGTTCTGCCTGCTGCCCCTCCAGACACGGTGGGCCTGGTTTTGGTTTGGATGTCTGTGAGCAGTGCTGAGACTGGCTGCAGCAGCCTGTGCTTAGCTCAGGGCATGGGTTGTTTGCATGTGGGGGACCAGGAGAGCGCAGCGAGTGCCTGTGCTCTGCAAAATGGGTGCATTGTGTCTGTCCGCGATGCCCCGCATAGGTGGCCATGATCAGAATGTAATGTGCCCGTGCAGGGACCTGTCAGATTCGGGCTGCTTTTAGGCAGCACTTGGCCTCTGCCTCTTCCATCACAGTGCCCTTCCTGCCGGGCAGGCACCGCGCTCCTGCTGCACGCTGTGCAGGAGAGGGTTGTGTGAGCTTTGTGCTCCCGCTGTCAGGTTCCCATCCTGGTGCTGGTATTTTGCAGCTGAAGCCGAGTGAGGCAGAGACAATGTGCTCGAGCATTCTGTCTGAGGGGAGTTTGGGGAGGGGGAGAGGGAAAAAGGCTGTTAGATCTATCGCTGGCAATTTAGATTCAGAGACATTTCATCTGCAGTTCCCTCAAGTGTTGAATTGAATAAAACCAGCAGCAGCAGTGGAAAAGGAGGTGGGGGAAGGGCTCTGAGCACTCTCGGCTAAACAAAAAGAGACAGGCAGCTCATAAAAAAAAAGAATTGCATCCTTGGGCTGAAAATACAGATTCACAAGGAAGGGAGGAGGACGCGTGGCAGAGCCCACCCGGCGGGCAGGGAGGGCCCTGGGCAGGCGCTGCCGAAGGCGCCCAGTGTTCCTGCAGCCTGAGCAGATCACAGGATTCACTTCTGGGTTTCATGATTTTCTGTGGGTTTTTTGAAGCTCTGGTTGTAGAATCAAGCAGGAAGAACAGAGTCCCAGGCTTTGTTTGCAGTTTAAAAGAAATTCTACTTCACTTTCCAGTGCTTCAGGAGAAAAGTGTAAAAGTGAAACCCTCGAGGGTCAAAAATTCAGAAGAAAAAGTAACTTAGCAGTTATAACTTTGTAAACACTTGCTGTTTGGGGCCTGACTCATGTTTCCCAAATGTGATCATGGGATGGCAGAACTGTCCTCATCATTAGGTGCTTCCATTCATCTGGCTTTGAGAGGGAATTGCTGCTGGTTTTTGTTCTGGCCATGCATTGCAGCATTTGTTTTTCTCTGGGTCTGTCTTTCGTTCCCCAGGCATCAGGTGAGGACAGCTTTCACAGAGAGCCACTCAGCCCAGCCGAGTCTGAGAGTGGCAGCCACTTGAGAGAATTAGATTACAGCAGAAAATAGAGTCTTGGGGTCTCTGTTGCCTTGTGTGAGTGTGGTGCCACCACTTCCAAGGCAATGCTTCCAGTGGCTTATTAGGTCTCAGAGAAGCATCAGGTGTCTCAGGGTTGACTGTGACCTTCCCTCAGGCTACCCCTCGTGACACCATGATGCTGTCTGCTTTGCTGGCGGCATAGGTCACTGCTGGTGGCATCTCTCTTCGCTGCAGTTTTCCTGGGCTCTTTCCACCCACGGGGACCAAGCCTCTCACTCGGGCTTCTCTGGGGTGGCACCCTGCAGGTCCTGCTCCGAGATGCAGCCCTTGCACCTGCTGCATCTCTGGCTGCCCAGCACCCTGCCATGATGGTGGCGCCTGTCCCCAGCCCAGCCTGTAGCAGGGAAGGGCCTTGGGAGAGGAGATGCTGTGGAGCAGGAGAGGGCTGGCTTTCCTCCTCCAGGCTGGCCAGTCTCCATCTCAGCTTGTGCTCCTCCCCAGCCAGGTCTCTTACTCTCCTAGAGTTGCTTTTCATCCTACTCAAGCAGTTTGTCCCCTCCAAGCAGCCTGGCAGGCTTCCCAAAGCCACTGACTCTCCTGTTGTCCTCCAGCAAGCATCGTGGTGGCTGAGTGGGGAGCACAACTTCTCTTCAGGTGCTGTTTTACTGTTTCATGGGGTGCTGCAGTGATTTAATCCAGTATAGCTGCGCAGGAAGACTCCTGATGGCCAGGCCAGCACAGCACTTTTACAAACGCTTACACAGCAGCAGCACAGCTGTCAGCACCTATTCAGGCACAAGGCAGAGTTCTAACATGTGTTTACTAACATGTGCTTACTGATGTGTCCGAACCCTCTCCTGTTCCCTACAGTGCACACAATGTGTGGGCAAGATTTGTATGTGATCGCAGTCCAGAATGCCCTCGCATGTGCATGAGCTGCAGTCTGCCAGAAGGGCTACCTGACTCAAGCCTTTGCTAGCCTTATGTCACCCATCTCAGGCATAAGGCAGTTGGTGGAGTCCATGGGTTTACCTGGGGAATAGCTAGGACTGCCTTGAGTCTCATTAGATAACAGCACAATATCAGAAACTGGTCTCCACCAGCATTTCTAGCAATAGTGGGGGATAACAAGAAGCCTGTTGGTGCATAATCCCAGAGCAGGCACCAGGTCCTCAGGTCCCACACCCACTGGTGTAGATACAGGGTGAAGGGGCTGGCTGATGCTCCTCAGAAGTTATTTCTTTCAAAAATATGTTCCTGCCTCAGGGGGAAAGGTAAGTCTTTTGTTCGCCCCCCTGTCTTCTTCCTTGATATCCTCGCCCCCTTAGAACACCTTAATGACAGACCTTATGTCTTACATTTTGCACAGCCCTGCTTCAGAGCACGTGAACGTGTGAACACGGCCAGCGCACTGCATCGGCCAGAGCCCGCTCCCAGCACGGCGTGCCCACGGCAGGAGACTGGGTGCCAGAGTAGCACCAGGATGTGAAGAATGGATGCTGGTATGTAGCCTCAGGGAGAAACGGGTGTAGGACGGCAGGTGGGGTAGCACACGTGGAGGCACCTGGCTTGAGCCAGCTCTCCGTGCTTCTCCGAGAGAAGCCGTTTGAATGAACGGCATGTGAAGTCGGTACCCCGCAGCCTAAGTGTGGGCAGCACCAAGTTACCCAGTGCCACCAGCAGCACAGCTGGACAGCTCAGGCTGGTTTCTGAAACCGTGTGACTTGGTCGAGCGCTGTGCTTCCATTAAAATGTCCTCTGCCTTTGCTGGTACTCACGCGGAAGTGCATGTGAAATACAAAGGCAAGAACAGGGTGAGGAGTCAGGACTTCTCAGGGCGGGCACCAGTACCTTTCTTTCATGTTGTTTCAGCTGTAAAACAGGGGTCACCATTCTGATCTACGTCACAAGGATTTGGGAGCCTGATTAGCTACAGCCTGTAAATGACTGAAGAAGTCTTACTGTGAATCTAGGACCAAAGGGTAGAGAATGAGAGAGGCTGTCTTATGGGCATGTATTATGCTGCCCTGATTTTCTCCCTGTGTTATCGATCCAGCGGCTTGCTAAGATACAGCCCTGCCTGCTGTAGTGGTTTAATTCATTTTTAAGCATCATTATTTTTCATGTTGTGGTCTTCCCCTGCTTGAGGTGCTTCTCACTGCCCATCCCCAAAAATGTCCATTCCTGTCTGTGTTTCATGGCGTGCACTACTCCCACATGTGTGTGTGTGCACACCAGGGAGATGGAGAGGCAGCTTCAGCTACACTAAGCAATTAAACTCCGGTAGCTCAGGGATGAGCAGGAGGCCGTGATTTTCTTTTCCTTTGCAGTAATTGCCTCTGCAATCAGCTTTGATCACCCGAGAGCAGAGGAGATGAGTGCTGCAAGTTGACATCAGTGGTTTTAATATATCCATTTACATATACAGGAGCAGTGCAGCATACAGCTTTCCATAGCGCCTCTGACCTGAAACCATCGCCGCTCCATAGACACCTCATTTAATTTAATACTTCACCGCCACTGCGGAAGCCACAGGATGGGGATGGGAGGGGGGATAATCAAGCCCTCACTCTCTTGCTCTCTGTGAATGTCTGTAGAAATGACATGAAAGTAATTGCTTTTGAAAAGCAAAGCAGAAATGGCACAATTGATTCCACTTAAATGAGAAGAGAAGGGGTGGGGGTGGGGGATGTTCACCCTAAACATGCCACCTTCTTTCCTGCTGCAAGCAAATCGCTTCATGGGTCTGTGTGGGGACGAAGGAAAGGTTGGCTTTCTCTGAACGGCTTGCAGGGGAAGGAGGCAAGCTCAGACAAGCAGTGCTGCTTTGAGCAATGTACATCCTTTCAGCTAACTCAGACCCAAGACAGACGCTGCTTCATGAAGCCATATGACATCCCCTATTGTCACAGGCATTTCTGTTGCTGGGGAGCTGGTAGGGAGCCTCATTGCATTGAACATCCTAGAATTATTCTGCCTCCAAAACCCGCTCACCTGCCTTGTAGCTGGGGGAAGGGGATGTTTATCTTGCATGCTGAGGAGACATCAGTTCCTCGCCGTCTCTCATCCATCTCAGATTAGCCCTGTGGATAAAGCTTTGTGAGCCCAAGGCTTTGGAAGCTACCCAGCATGCTGGTGGATATCCACCCTTCTGCCAAGTGCCCCATGCTGAGTTGTAGCCCTCCTGGCTGCCATGCTTGCCCCACGTGCCCCTCACAGCCCCCAAGGTGCAGATGTTGGGGTTGGGGGTGATGGGAGGCTCCGCTGCCCTGTGCTGCTGGTGGGGCACTGGGGTCGTGGGGCTGCTGGCAGGGAAGGGTGTTCTGTGCCTGTCAGCCCTCTCTGCCCTGGATCTGTGCTGCTTGTGCAGTTGGCCTGGTCCAGCGGCCGGTTATCTCAAGGGGTTGCTGTGTCCTTGGCCAGAGTGCTGTCAGACAGCAGCTGCAGGCTGGTCCTGGGGCCAGCTGTGCAGAGATAAGTCCTTGCATGGGTTTTAAATATGTTGCTGCTGCTTGGGAGAACAAGCACTCCCTAGATGCTTCACTACTTTGTTATTTCTTTGTTCTTCATCTTCTCTGCATGGCAGCCAGCTGGTCTGTGCCCCAGACTCCAGCCACAGCCAAGGTCTGGCTTTGCTGTTTTCCCAGCTGCCGGGAATTTCCCCGGCTGTTCTTCCAGTCTCCCTGAGTGGGCAAAGGAGGTCGAGGACTGCTGTGGAAATGTTGTGCCTGGGGTTGTGAGAGCAATGTGGCACCTCAAGGCTCACAGGCAGCGGGGCAGAGCTTGTCAGACCCATGGCCTGGCAGCCGTACACAGCAGAGAGAGAGAGGGAAGAATGTTTTGTCCATGCCAGGCTGAATGAGGTGGTGTGTCCCCCATGCCCAAGTGCTTGTTCTGTTCTCTGGCAAATACGGGAAGAAACCACCACACAAGAGTCTCAGGGAATCTTCCTAGATTGGGAAGACTCAGATACGTTTGTACCAAGGCAAAGCTGAGTATTTGCAGAAGGTCTCTAGTAGTTGGTTTGGCCTGTACTCATGTTGTGATGGAAGCCACCCCAGAATCTGGCAATTCTCTGCCCAGCTCTGGAGCATCTCCTTTGCTCATCAGAGTATACGGTGTTCTCTGCTGGATCCTGTATTCAGCACAAAGATGGCCTCTACTATTGCAATGGACAGGCGTGCGAGCACACGCTCAGAATTTAAACATTCTCTTTTTTTTTTTCTTTTGGTGGGTGTTTTGCTGGACAGCTATAACCTTTTTCACTGTGGCTTTGAATGGGCTGTGTGCGTATGAAATACAGCTTGGAGGAATGCAGGCTACTGTGCTAATAACAATGTCTCCAATACATCTTTAATGTAGACATTAACGTCATTTTATGTTAATTACATGCAAATTGATTATTAATGTATTTATTGAATGTTGACAGCTGGGTGACAGTCTTCAGTAAATATGTTTTACTAATCAGTTAGCATTTAATTAATATCGAAATTCTCTCTAGGTTTAGTAAGACAGTTAGTGAACATTAATTAGGCCCCTCAGTTGCTGTGTATGTTGCAGGACATCCCCGGTGCTGCTGACGGGGCTCAGCCGTGCTCGGCAGTGCTGCGGGGTGCGGGCAGGCAGGTGGGTTCGGAGGGGGCTGGGGGCAGCGGCACTGCCAGCAGGACAGACAGACAGACATGCTGCTGGAAGGGTGAAGTCTCTGGGAGCTGTTGCTCTTGGGAGGCAAGCTGCCAGCGGGAGTGGAGCTGATGGTGGCCAGGCAGATCCCATTTTGTGTGTGACACGTGGTCGTGGGAGAGGTGAGGCCGTGCCCGCTCGGTGCAGTGTCATGGGCCCTGCAGCGCTGGCTGGGCTGGCCATGAGAGAGGGCTTGGGATGCTCCTCCCCTCCCGCCATTTGGCCCGTTGTGTCCTTGAAGACCAGCGAGCCGTGTCTGTGTCCCACAGCGGGGCTGCTTGCACTTGTGGGGGTGAGTCATGGGATGGGGCAGGGCAACAGCTCTGGGCAACAAGTGTGAGCAGAGAGCCCTGCGCAGCTCAGTGCCTGTGGGGTCCTGGGACCTCTGTCCTTCCTGTTTCTAGAGAGATGCATAAACTGTATGGGACCTAGTGACACAGGAGAAGAATATAGATCTCTGCTAAAAATATGTTCTGCCTTGTTCCTGCACCTCTGTGCAGCTGCATGGGCACTGCTCTCATCCAGTCTCAGTGAGGTGTCTGTGGTGACCATCCCTTGCACGTTACCTCAATAGTGTTATCAGGAAGCTCTGGAGAACCCCTTTCTCCATGGAGCAATGCTGCTTCCAGTCACTCCTGAGCAGTAAACATAGCCTGCTGTTCTCACCTGCAGTGATCACTTTGCTGCATATAGGACCCTTGGTTATGGCAAGGCATTGCCCAGCCCCTGGCCACCAGCACAGAGGATTTCTCAATGGTGAATTTAAAACACCAGGCAGACCAATTCTCGAGCTGTGTGGCCAGCCTTTTTCTCTTGCTGCCCTGTCATCAGCAGGGCAGAAGCCACACAGAGCCTTTGCCCCTGCCCAACATGTTTGCACCCACTGGCCATGGCTCCTCTCACCTGTCGGAAGAAGGCGAGCAGCATCCCTGAGACCTCCATTGCAAAGGCATCGGGGTCATTGGCCGGGGAGCCGCTCCACCGCAGGGCTGCTGCAGCACTGTTAGCTCTAGCAGATCAATACTTTAGTCTTGTCATGTTAATTGCTCTTTGGTTGACATTCATGATCCTTTCCTGCTCCTTCCTTGTGTAAACTCTTCACAGCTGGGACGCCAAGAATTGAAAATGCTGAGCCCTCAAAGCCCATTCCTGTTGAGGCAGGACAAGAGGAGTGGATGACCAAGCTGCAGGGTACCAGAGCTCCCCATCCCCTTCGTTCCATGGATGGCAGGCACGGGGGAAATGCCTGGAGGGGTCCTTAGTGCAGGGTAGAGGAGCACGGAGCCCCAACACACAGCCGGATCAAGAGCTGGTTATTTAGCTATTAGTTAGAATAACTTTGGTTTTGCTCAGTTGCTCTTTGCTTCCCCCACCCAGACTGTCTGACACCCCCTCCATGAGCAGAGGAGGCAGGTACCCCAGAGCTGCCGACTCCCTGCCTTCCCAGAGTTGTACATATCACTGCTGCCGCGGGCGTGCGTGTCAGATCACACCTACCATATTGGCTTCCTGTCCCCAGAACATCAGGTTTTTGCAGCTAATGTGTGTGGGGGGTGTCTCCTCCCGACAATCCCCACCCCCAGCAGCATCAGGCCTGTGCTGTTCGGGGTTTTGTTAAGCCGTTTAGTATTAATTGATTTTTTTTCCATTTTTTCTTTCTTTCCCTGGGCGGGTCAATAGCTGGATGCTCAAGAGCAGAGGATCTATCAACTGCAGACCAAGCAGAGGGAGAGGCAGGCAGAACTGGAGCAGAAATGCAGCCGGATCCAGCAGCTCAACCAGGACGTGGAGGCCAGTCACCAGCTGCAGGAGGAAGCTCAGAAGCAGGTAGGAGAAGATGCCAGTTCACTCTAGCTTGGCAGCCCAGGCTGGGAAGGGAACTTTATTTAATGCATTCACAGTAGCAGTGATAACCTACTGTTCTCATTAACATGGCAGCATAAGGAAGGGCTAAAGATGCGCAAGTAGAGTCTGTCAGCTCCCAGTGAGGAGGGGAAAGTCCAGGGAACGGGAGAGACAGCTTCAGCTCCGCTGACTGTAAATAGGTGCTGGGATTGCACTTGATTTGAGGGTGTGACTGCTGTAATGCACAGATACCCTGGATATTGCTCCTGCTGCTGACCTTCTCGGAGAGAAGGAAACAGGGTGGCCATCAGAGACAATGCCTCTCAGGACAGTGCTGTCCTAGCTGGTAGTAACAGTGACGTGTAGTGGGCCAGGAGACAAGGCTTGTTCAGGTCTGTTCAGCTACGCTGCTGTGGATGAAATCCTCAGTTTGCTGCAGGACATGCAGACAATTAGGGTGGGAATGCCCTCATCACCCTGTGGACCTGACAGGAGGCCTGCTGGGCAGTGCTTGTGCCAGTCCTCTCTGTGCCAGGGCCGTTTGCCCCTGCCCTGCTAACAGCTCTCTCTTCCGATCCGTGTATTTCGTAAGCTGCCAGGAGTCAGACGGTTTGCTGAGACAGAGTATTCCTTCTGCATGTGAATCTGGCTTGGGAGAGCGTGCCGCTCCCCCGTCTCCTCAGCCATAGGGTTTTCTGCCTCATGTCCACTCGGGCACCTGTAGTCATGAGCGGATTTTGACCACAAGCTGTCATTCAGGTCCATATAGCAAACAGAAGAGGAGAGATGATCCTGCAAATCTGTGCAGCTACTGCTGCCGCACACTGCAGGATTACTTGCTCAACCCGAGTCCATCCTCCATGGTACCCACTGCTCATCTCTTTCAGCACCCCATAAGCCAAAAAAATTATGTTTATTTTAACAACTTGATAGTTAAATATTCTCAGTGTATTGAAAGTGGAAACATTCAGTTTCACTTAATCTGGTGATAATGAATATGTTCATTTGAATATGAACAATATATATTGCCTCATATATGAATATGATGCAATGATTATTTTCATTGCATTTGAAGGAAAATAACGAGACGTTGTTCCATTTACTGCCAAGTCATCCATTGTTCTGTGTGTGTGTGTGTGAAGAGACAGCACAGTGTGTGGGCTGAACTGCATGTTGTTTTCCGATTGCCCACAAATGAAGGCTGGGTGCGGGAAGTTTGCGTGCCTTTGTCTGTGTGCATGAATAGTGGAGGACAAATAAATCTGCGCGTGTGTCAGCGCGTGCCTGCATTTTCTTCTGCGTATGTATACAGGTCACCGTGTATTGATTTGTGCAAGGACAGCATGGCAGAGCAGGAATCACACTTCTGTTTCTTCTTATAGTTACTCTGTCTTACTCCCTTCCTATCCCTCCATCCATTAATACTGAATTCAGCTGAGCCTAGCTGCTTGGTTTTGATGTGCAAGTGGCAGATAAAACATCCCAGCTCTAAACTTTCTCTTACAAAACTCCCAATTAAAAGTACTGAATATCAAGTCCTGTTACAATGGGAAAAAGAGCGGAAGTTTGTCATATTGCCCCAAGACGCTCACCCACCTTCTGTGGTGAAGGGGCTTCCTGAGCCCAAGCAGGAGTCTTTGTTTAACAGCCCTTGAGGATTTTTCATCCATAACTTGTCAAGCTATTTTTGTAACTCAGATATTATCTGGATTCTGCAATGTATTGTAGCAGCAAGTTCCACTGCTTAACCACGTGTGAGACGCATAGCCACCTCCTTTTGTTTATTTTGAACCTGTCCCCGGACAATTTCTGTAGTTTTATTGGAAGAGGCCATGAACAGTCATTCCTGAGCCACCCTCCCTGTGACACTTCTGATTTTATAGACCTCTGTCGTGTTTCCTTTCCATCATCCTTCTTCCAGGCTGAAGGGCCCCAATCTTGTTTTGTTTTTTTCTTGAGCCAAACACGGTTGCTGATAAATCTGCTGATTTGGGGGCTTTGGGCTCCCAACAGCTGGCAGTCCCAGGATGCCTATAGCAGGCTGCACATACCAGGAGCCCCCTGCAAGGAGTGTCAGGTGTAATTTAGCACTGGGAGCATGAGTTATGGTCCTGCCCTTTAAGGAAAGGCTAGCAGCATAGCCCTGCCTGTCAGCTGAGTTCCCCACCTGATCATGAGCTCTCCTGGTGAATGAATCAGGATTTGGCATATCGTTGTTTAATACAGCCCCCATGCTAATGTCTTTTTGAAATGAAACCGAGAAAGCTGTTAACCTCAGTTAGCCAGCTGTCCTCACCATGACCTGGATAAATCATCATAGCAGGAGCTCTGAAGAACACCGCTATTACTGCTTTGGAAAACGGAGCTGGAAGTGAAGGACTGTGCTTCCCACTTGTGCCAGGAAGGCTTCTCTGCACCAGGGCTGTGCAGCAAAAGGACTGGTGTGTTGTCACACCAGGACCCGGCTGGTGCTCCAGGCTGGGTGTCGGGTCCTGGAGACTTGCAAAGGCTGGAGCTTCCACTGGCACGCTCCCTTCCCTGACAGTCACCAGAGGAGTCGTGGCGTTACACTGCAGGTGGGAGAAAAGCAATGTGTTGTATATAGGAGAGGAGAGGGTGGACTTTCACAGTGACCTCAGGGACTGGCTCTTTCGGCCACTCCTCCACCAGGCATGTCTCACCATCCAGCCCCTGCTCATGACCACGTGGGTGCTGATGCAGGGCCAGTCTTCCATGTTCGTTCCCTTCAGCTGGAGGCTGGACTTTCTCCAGGGCTGTCTCCTTCACCACATCTGAAGGAAGCTAGCTTTGAGCTGTTTGTCTCTGTGGTGGGAAAGGATATAAAGAGGACAAGTTGGTGGCTATCACAAGGAGATCTAGATCTACTGGAGCAGGGTGTTTCCCTCCATAAAGCTGGTTTGACTCTGGGAGCTGTTATCTTTATAAAGGCCTCATTACTCTATCTGTTCTCACAGGGCACTGATTGCTGCAGTCTCTTTGTGTGGCAGTGAGTTCCACCAGACAGGTTTTCTTTTGTTGTTTCTGATCTGGCTATTTTGTGGTTTTTTTCCTCCTGCATGACTGAGGAAAATCACACCAACAGCTGCATGTAAGAAACTCCTGGAAAGAGGAACAAAGCCATCTGTTCTCCATGTCCGTGAAGGCACGCACAAAAACTAATGGGCATAGCCTGCTTCAAGAAAGATTCAGGTTAGGAACAGTTTTCTAATGGGGAGGAGAACAAAGCACCTGAACAGACTGCCAGGGGCCTGAGCATTCTGCATCACAGGAGACCTTTAAAGACAGATAAACGGAAGATAGGACACTTGTAGGTTCCCCTGTCTTAGAACTGGAAGATGGGCTATCAACCTCTTGAGGCTCATGCCAGCCTTGCTCATTTCCTAAATCTATCCTTGCTCATACCTTGAAACCCATCTCTGCCTTCTTCAGAGCCCCACTGTAGTCTTCATGTGGTATCAACATACCATTCCCAGGCTGGATCTCCTTTCTAGCAAAGTGACTGCACTTGAGTCTTGGATTTGTGCTCGCATCCTACTGATGCTGATCAGATGTGGTTCATCTGATCTCCATAACGCTTAGACCCAGCTTCGTACTTCAGGTTGTGTTCCATCTCCAGCAGTGCTGGCCGTGTTCCCATGCTGGGTAGCGGTGTTGGTTTGTGGGAGCATTCTTCCATCTCACTGTTATGCTCCCATAGGCTTGTTCCCAGGAGAGATTTGCTGGGGAGTGCACACTAACTTTTTCCCATGTAAATTCATCCTTACGTGTCTTTCTCATTAGTGGTGTTCCTTCGGCTCTCTTCTCAGGGAACAAGGTTCTCTGTTCCAAGTGCTGTGGGCCCTATGCACAGAGACTCTCTCCTTCCAGACCTCTGGAAGGACAAGGACCTCTCTAATTTCTCATACTGGAGCCATAGCGCTCACATACTGGGATGATGACTTGGTGCTCTTTCACATGTTCCCGAGGAGCCTGCTCTCCAGGATGTTCCTGGATAAAGATGTGCTCCACAGGATGAGCAGAGGCCTCAGTGGAACTGGCTGAGAATGGGTGCCAGCTGGCTGAAGCAGACAAGGATCAGGCACCAGTGCTGCAGGAAGGGACAGAACAGTACAGCTGACAGCCTCTGAGCTGCTCCCTTTAGTGACACATCCAGCAAGCTGCAACTGGAACTGGTAGGTGCCTTGTTTGCTGAGCTGCACCCAGGAACTGGGATGTGGAAAGAAAGCTGGATTTTGCCCCTTTTACTGCCTACTTAGCTGGTCACAGGTTACCCAGTAGCCAGAATATGTGTTTTAACATATGCTGAAAAGATCAAGCAGAGCCTGGAGGATGTCAGTGGGTGATGAAGGCTCTAATACCACCAGCTGTATGACATGTGCTGCTATGCCTCAGGCTTTGGCCTGAGCACTGCAGTTCCACCCTTGGTGGTAAACATAAGAGTAGACGAAGCAGAGATGGGAGCATAGATTTGCTATCAGAACTTTTGGATTCAATTTCCATTCTCAGTAGAATAACGATGTGCAGTTTCTTACATGTGCTGCTTTGCAAAGGAATTGTGCAGGACATGGCTATCAGTCAGAGACCACCTGGAGAGTAAGGTCAGCTTGATGCCATGCAGGCTTGCTGTGCAGAGGCTGGCCCAGGCAACCTGGAGGTCAGGGTCTGACTGATGGAGAGGTCTTGCCTCTGCTCCTTGATGGCTGTAGGAGTCTACTGCCTTTTGCTTACCTCCTACTGTTTGAGTGCAGTCATGAAGCTTCAGTAGCTGGAGAGGTAGAATTGCCTGGATATCAGTGGTTGATCTATCTGCTTTCTTCTCAGTAACCAACAGGGGGGCAGTTCCTGGCAAGCTGTGTGTTACCTACCTCCAGAGCCCCACGGCTGTCTGCTGAGTAGCAGCCATGTTAATGCTGAGCAGCACCCACTTGGATTTGGGTCCTTGGTGGGAGGGTGGAATGTGCACAGGCTCACAAATATATATATATATATATACATACACCATATACCAGGGCACAGAGCAGCTCACACAGACATCCCAGCACCATCAGTAGGCAGACAGGGCTGGAAACACACACAGCCACGACAGCCAGTGGGAACTGTGAGCGAAGGTGAACTGTGTTATTTGTGTAGACACTGGCGAGGAACCCCACCGGGTACCTGGCTCTGAGAGCCAGTTCTACAACAGAGACGTTAAAGAGGGAATAAAGAAACTAATACAGCATTGACTAAAATGGTCTGCGAGGCTGATTTCTCTCCGTGCAGCCTCTGAAGGAGCAGACTTTGGGGCTGTGGAGAAATAGGCAGCCTCCAGGCTGTGAGGCTAATGCAGAGCCACGGCTGTTTGTATAGCTGCAGAGCCTTTAAGAGAGACTTGGGAAAACTAGCTTGGATTCCAATGAATATTTACAATTACACTGCTCCAAAGCTGAATCCAATCACAGCACTGCAGTATGCAGGCTTTGTGCATCAAAAGAAAATGAGAGGAAAGCAAGAAAGATGGAGTTGCCTTTGGAGAGACTTATAAACACAGCTCTCTCTGCTTGTGGCAGAACTAAAATGCTTTATTTCTGATTGGAGCAATTTATTCTTCAGGCATTTTGCTTGATATTAGAAAGTGCCTGGCTGTTTTTTGAAGTGAGAGTCTTCAGTAGATGGTCTTTAATTCAGAATAAAAGAAAGGAATGGGAAGTGTTGTAGTCCATAATTTTGATATTGTATTAACAAACGCCAGAAAAAGGGGAGCATTTCCAAACTAAAGCTGGGGCCCCTTTCACTCACTGCATTCTTGGTTACGATGTGGAAAAGGGCTGGGCAGAGCTACCTTTGTTAAAACCATGCTTCTAATATGATATTTGGCTGATTACCATGCTCTGCCACTAAACAGGATGATCTAACAGAGAAAGGGAAGGAAAATACTGAAATGAACATTCATTGCAGCTCAGTATTGGCCTCTGCTTTTTTGCAGTGGAAGGTTTATAAAAATAATGGTGTTGGGGAATCACTACATGATAAAAAGATGGAGGATTTTGTGACTGCTAGATTACTGCAGAGGGCTGTGTGCAGCAGAATAGAAGTGTGTGACAAAGCAGAGGCACAGCTTGAAGTGACAACCAAGCAGCTTGCCTTCAGGAGCTGCTCTGGTAGCCTGCCCATATTGCCCACTGATCAACTCTTCTACACGGTGCCAAGGGAAATCATCTTGGATTCTCTCACTTGTATTCCTTGTGTTGGTAGTGGGGAGAGCTGCAGGGAAGGGCTCGGCAGAAGACCTACAACGTGTCCATCAGTTCCATATATTGGGAGCTTGTAGAGGACTGACACACTGGAACAGTTGTGGAAGAAGGTAGGTGTGAGAATGGACAAAAGCACAGGGCAGGCTGGGGACAATATGGATCACATAACTAGCAATTATGCTTCTTACTCTGACACTGACATCAGTCAGCAGTGCTGCCAAAGCGTGGCTCTAACATACAAGGGCTGTGAATAATCTGTGGCCTTGGCGTGGTCCTACAGCACCAAAACACCACCGCTTTAATTACAAATATTTATGTTACATCTTTGCATGCCACCTTCCCTAGCACCATGGCAGCGTGACAGCAGATGCTCTGACACAAGTCGGGTTAAGACTTATGCTGCAAGAACGTGCAATTGCTTTGGCACGGCGTGAGTTTACAAGCACACCTGACCTAGGAAAGCCACATCTGAAGGCTGGCCTCCTCCATCCCCAAGGCCCCAGCAGGCAGCGTGTCTCCACCCCCGAACAGAGGGCAGCGTGTTGCCGTTTTCAGACTGTGCTAATCCCTTTGTGTGTTTTGAAGATGATGCTGTTCCCTGGTGCATTTCACCTCGTGGCTGCACAGATCCCTTCCGCTGGATGGCAATCTTAAAGGATGCTGAGGGGAAATCCCAGGAAGCTGGTCTCTGATCTGAGTCACGCTGCTGGTGCAGGGAAGCACTCTGTCACACGCAGGCATGGCACAGGGTGTTCCCTGCAGCTTGGCACATACTGAAGTCGATAGCCCTCAGCAGGAACTTGCATTCAGTATTATACTGTCTAAGAGGCTTAAAATCGACTGTGAAGTTTCAGTATAGCTACAAAAAACCCTGTTTTCAGTTTCTCCACTGGTAGCTTGCTCCAGAAGGAGACGGTGCAATTTGGTGATTGATTCTTGGCATCTGGCTGGTGCATCTGCACTGGGGTATTTTGAATCACGTTGTGTAATATGAAAAATAGTCGTTCATTTCATTCATTTGAATTTGTCTTGCGGGAATGGCAGCTGCCCAGACAAATTCCATGTGAAGATGGGAAATGTGATGGAGAGCCCAGTACTGTGTGTAGCAGAAACAACAGTGCAGTTTTGCACCCACCAAGAAGCCACCGTTGATCCGTCTTGCTCTCTGCATCTCATTGTAGGTTTTTATACCAGCTCTGTCACCAGCAATTGGTGACAGACACCAGTTGCTGTGGCCAAAACTAGCACTCCAGTTGACCGGAAGAGGAGTAGCACGCTTGCACATATCTGGTAAACCACAGCCTGCTGGAAAACTACCAAATAGTTGCTAGTGTTAGAAGCAGGTTAAAGCTTAAAGCAGCAAATGCTGTTGGAGCAGGACTTGGCTTAATAGTCTACAGGAGCCACTGGCCCAGGAGCTGGAGTGGCTGCCAGGATCTCCTCTTACCCATACTGTGTATCTCTTCTTTAAGTTGGCTAGAATGTAAATGAGAGCTTCCTGAGCTCAGTGGGGCTGGAGGGCAGACTAAGAGGAATGAACATGATGGTAAAGACAACTGGAGTTGTGGCTGAGCCAACCCTCATCCAGCTGATGGCAGGCAAAGCTCCACAGTTACCTCCAAACTCCCAACCAAGCCATCCAGGTGTCCGCAAGGGCCCCACATCAGTGTGTGGCTGTACAGCTCTGTCCGTGTCGGTCTCTTTTCTCAAGTCACAGGCGACAGGACAAGAGGAAATGGCCTCAAGTTGCGCCAGGGGAGGTTCAGGCTGGATATTAGGAAAATTTTTTTCACTGAAAGGGTTATCAGACATTGGAATGGGCTGCCCAGGGAGGTGGTTGAGGCACCATCCCTGGAGATGTTCAAAAGACGGGTTGATGTAGTGCTGGGAGGTATGGTTTAGTGATGATGCTCCTTGTTTGTTGTGCGGGTGTCTATCTTTGTCAGTTAGGTTGACGGTTGGACAAGATGATCTTTAAGGTCCCTTCCAGCCTAGAAGATTCTGTGATTCTGTGTCGTCCAGCACTCCATCTCCTCACTATCAGCCTCACACGCTGTGTGTGCTACAGCTGAGTGCTCTTCAGGACAGGTCCCATGTCACTTCTTTCTAAGCCCTACACTTATTTCATATTTCCATAGTGGGAACAGTGTAGTAAGGCTCGTGCTGGCTGGGAAAACCAAGCAGGCTCTGCCCCACTCCAACCACGTAGCCCTGAGAAGGTAAGAGCCATTGCTGGTGTGGAGAGATACGGGCAAGTGGGGAAAGGGCTGACAGTGGTCTCTACGAGCTGTAGAACCAGAGGGAAGGAGCACCAGCAGCGATGGAGGAAGAGCTGCTCCGACGGACGGAGCAATCTCTGCAGGGCTGGGGGATCCTGGGCCGTGATGGAAGTCAGTGCCTGGGTGGGTGCCTCTCCCACACCTACCGTGGGAAGCACTTGCAATTCTGTGACAGCAAAAGTTGGGTATGTAACTGATAATAATGTATGTGTAAACAGAGCTGTTGCAGCAAACAGCCTGAGAGCTACTGCAGTTTCTCTGCTGGTGTCTCTGTACACTCCATCCCTCCTCTCTATTGCTTCAGTGTCATGTCTCGCGCTCTGACCGGCTCCAGAGGACAGCACTCAGAAGTGTGCTGGCTGAGACACCCCTCATTCGGTGCAGGTGAGTGCAAACCTCACAGCCCCATTGCCTGCATCAAACCACGGTGCCTCTGCGACTCCCACATTCCCTCTGGGGAGCAGCAGCAGACCTGCTTCTCTGAGTCTCCCTTGGCATGGCTGAGTCCCCTTAGAAGGTCACTGGGCAGCCCCTAATGCCCCAGGGAGCCTTAGCACTCTGCAACCCTCACCCGGGTGCTGGTTCTCCAGTCCTGCACCATCCCTTGCGCCAAGGACAGAGGTGCTCCCTGACGTGCAGGAGCCCAAGTGCTGTCAACCCGGCTCGAGGGCTCCCCACGAGAACAAAGCACAGGTTTTGGCACTGAAGGTGACCAGCTGAGACAGCAGCAAACTGTTTGCTGGACGTCCTGCAGCTCATCACAGAGAAGGACTGGGGCATAGAGGCTTCTGCTGCCATTACCACCAGCTCTGCCACTGCTAGGAGTGAGTGTTGCTTAAAAGTGGCCTGGTGTATGATGGCTCACCTCTATCCTGACATGGCAGTGCAGAGCTGGGGTTACCAGCCCACCACTGCAAATTTTTAAGCTAGGCTTTTTAGATACAGCTCCTTAAAAAGGACAACAGACCGATATTGATACAGGGCAGGATCAGTCCCTGCAAAGGAGCCTGGAGCAGTGAAGGAAAGAAAACGCTGCCATCAGCTGCAAGTCCGTCTAGCTCACTGCCTCCTCTCTGCCACTGTCTCCTCTCTGCCAGGAGCCAAGAACTGCGCTCGTGGTCAGTGTAAGAAGAGGGCATAGATGCCACAGTACTGCCCCAAATACCCTGCCAGCCTCCGGTGATTACAGCTCAGAGGCTTCAGAAGCAAAAGTGGGATCTTGCATTTAATCAATGTAAGTGGATTTTTTTCTCCCATTAAAATATTTAATTTCTTTCTGAATGCCCGTAAACTTTGGGAGTCTACCATATCCTGTGTGAAGCAGTCTGACACAACATATGACATTAAAAAAAAAACCTGTTTTTTGTTTTGTGGTTGTTACCTGCTGATTTATGGGGTGCTGCTGGTTCTTATATCGAAGGGACAATGAGAAATCATACTGCAAACAACCTCTATATGCCAAACTTGATTTTATAATCTTCTTCAGTCGTTTCTTTTCCAGGCTAAAGAGACTATCTACTTTTTCCTCATATGGAAAATATTCTTTGTATTTGATCACCCTCGTTGCTCTTCTCTGAAACCCTTCCAACTCTATTTTTCTTGAGAGAGGCAGACCAGAGCTGCATATGATAATCACAAGGCAGCTTCCACTTCGGATCTATTCAGTGGCGTAACTGTGATCTGCTCTCCATTATTTTCCTAATAATTCTTAACAGTCAGTTTGCCTTTTGGGCTGCTCCTGGGCACTGAGCAAACGTTTCCATAGAACCATCTCTCCATCTATATCTGGTTTTATCTAGTATAGCCCCAAGCTCAGCCCGCACTCGTGAGGAGGGAATGGAGCTACAGCAGCTGGGACTGCGAGTGAAATCTGGTAAGAAAGCGCAAATGCCCCAGAACTTTAGCAGGGTTAAGACCACCTGGCTGTGTCTCGTATCTTCAGGATTGGAGACAGCTGCTAAACATCTGGAAAACAAGAAATGATGAGTTAATCTCAGCCCCGCAACACTGCAGCCCTGTCCTCTTCCAGCCATGGCTACCTTCGAGTACCAGCTGCGCCCAAGAGGCTGTAACACTGTGGGAAGAGCTCAGGAGCCTGCTCTTCACTGAAGCAAAACTTGGGGTCAGGTGAGGCAGAACCACTGGGAACAACCCATGTTTGCTTTGCTCTTGGATACAGAGCCTCCTTAAAGAAAACACCCATGCCTGTTGAATGTGGTCACCCTTTCACCCCTGTTGCAAGGATTCCTTCTGAGATCCCACCTTCATTTACCATGCCAAGCACCAAGGCCACTGTTGCACAGGCCACAGGACTGATGGCCCACGTGGCACAGGGACAGGCCCACAAGTTTCCACCGATGCAGCCTGCACGGTCCAGGGAAGAGCGGCCACCTTCATGGCTCAAGAGTTCTGCTGGGTGGCTCCCACTAACCTTTCAGTGTTGAGCACAAGCACACCTCACCACGACTGCAGCCGGAGCCCCTGCAGATAAACACCGATGTCAAGTCACTATCGAAGAACACAAATAATGTTCTCTTGCTCCTTCTTCACGTTTTCTTTCTGTAGACTCACAGAGCAAGCAGGAAGGGATCGTGCAGCCTGACCTTCTGTACCCGCGGTCAAGAAAATTTCGCCATGTTACTGCTGAATTCAGTAACTTGTTTGACAAAAGCAGTTTCAGAAGAGCGTTTAACTGCACTTGAAGACATCAAGAGATGGCAAATGCATTTCCTCCCTTCAAAGTCAATCCCTTTGCATCATTCCTACTGATTTTTTTTCTCTGATTATTGCTGTACCAGTGGGGCTAATGAGCAGCAGAATGGTCTCAACTTTGTTTCTCCTGGTTTCTATGCTTTATCTTCTCTGTATCTTTGAATACTCCTTTTGTTTTGGCCTGAGACTTAAGGTTAACCATAAGGAAAGGAAGGGCATAAGGATCCTCTCTTTCTGCCTCTATTTCTGCATTCCCATGCCCACCAACCCGTGGTTCCCCACCACAACAGTCTTTGTCCACTTACCCAGCTCCCTCTGGTTTCTGACTCCCCTCAACCCCCTTTTTTTCCCCTTATCTTTTCCCACCTGCTGTTGCTGCTAGTTCTGGAGAAGGCCCCCAGAGCCAATACCGATGTGGCTGTCCAGGTGCACCATCCATCTGCCAGCAGCTCAGTGGCTGTAACTGCAAGAACCACCAAAGCATCATGTTCTATGACCAGACCTGAGCAACGCTGTTTTTCTTTCACTCGCTCCTCCCTTCTTCCAGCAGGAATTGCTGCCAATTTCTAGCTCATGGTTCCTTACAGAAATGTAGCAACTCCTTTGCAGCTCATGTACATCCTTACTCAAGAAACCAAGATGCAGCTTGCAGGAGCAGCGGTGGAAATGGCTGCCGTCCGTGATGGAGGTAAGTACAAGAGAGCACTGCGAGAGGCACATGGGTGCTGGGCAGGGGGGAGCCCTGGTGGGCTGGTGCACACTTTTGGGTTTTCAGGCTCACTCCTGCCCTCGCCCGTGCGTTCCTCTTATCCTGGGTGAAGTGTTTAAAACCCAACTAGACACAGTCCTGGCAGCCTGCTCCATCTGACCCTACATGGACAGGGCAGCTGGAGCATCTCCTCAGATGGTCTCAAGAGGCCCCTGCTCTGTGCTTCTGTGACACTGGGCCTTTCCCCCCAGGGAGATGGAAGGGTGCAGGAGGCTGTGGCCTCTGCGCTTCCAGCAAAGCCCCCAGGATTCCTCCAGCACCAGCATCCGTGGCGCTGTGCTAGGGACGAGCAGAGGTACCTGGTGTCTGAGCAGTGGGAATGTCACAGGTTGGCTTCTGGGGGACAGGGCCCCCACACGCACCACCAATGGCCTCAACACCCCTCCAAGATTTCAAGGGAACAAGTGGAGGGACAAAGGAGGCACAGAGCGCTGCTGGCTGCTCCAGGATTTGGCTTGTGCTGGAAATGCAATAGGGAACGGTCCTACCTATTTTTGCCACTCTGTAGCTGTTTCCTCCTACTCTATTTTCACACATCCAGCTCCTTTCTTTCTCCTTTCTCTGGAGGGGACCCTCTCCCAAGAGCTGCGATGTTTTTTTAATAAGTATTTTTTCAAGTAGCTGGCTGAGACCCTGGCAAGGATAATGAGATCATTTTCCTTGCAGAATGCGAAGCCATGCAAGACTTTTGCCTGTTTTGTTATTTCTCCCCTGTAGACTCAGACCACGCTACCGGTTATTTTATGTTTGTTGATATTCCCCACCAGCCAAAGGTACAGCCTGTGCCCCAGACAGCTCCCAGATGCGATTAGACCAGAGGTACCGGTTCCCTGCCGACGCAGAGAATTGGAAATTATCACTAGAACTGCAGAGAAATAACCTTTAAGGCTCATTAAAATTCCACGGACGCAAACGCCTGTTCCCGTTTTCACGGCTCCAGCTCCGGGGCTGGGACCCACCTCCTCCCCTTCCATCTGCCCCC